GGCTTGTTGTGGAACAACCTTTTTGTGCAAAAATGGCTCTCTTGATCCAAGGTTGTCTTCTGTTCATTATAGGATTTCTTACATGTGGCCTCCAATTCTTTCTGATAGAACATATTATCTTTCAGTCTTGACTGCCAATTCCTGGATAGGCTATCACTGTTTTAAAAACTGAAGTTGGCCTCCCAGGTGAACAACTAGGAGGCAAACCCACAAATTAACTTCAGTGTCTCAGTTTATCCCATCCCATAGGACAGATAGTATGGCTGTCAAAACCAAAAAGCTTTGTAAGGTTTATGTCAATTAATTCATAGAGAAATGTGATTGTGAGCTTTTGTTGTGGCCTTAACTGTTTGGTTTCTTGCTTTTAAGTGCTCACATTTTGTAAATGTGATAGGCAACTATGCTTTATTTCTGTTACCATTTTTAACTGAGTTTTGAAGCTACGTTTTTTTTACTTACAAAATTGGGAAACCTGTTGGGTTTTTTTTTCAGCTTCGCTTTTTGAGTAGGAAAACATGTCATTTTTAAAAACATGGTAGAGAAAAGGTTAAGCTCTGAGTGAAGAGAAATGACCATATTAATAATAAGGGGAAACCAAAAAATATTTGCCTCCCCCGTCTGAAATTGTTCTGGGAAGGAACACAAATTCCAGCCAAAATGAAATATCTACAAGCAATACGTCAATCCAGTATGTTTGCAAAAACTCTTCTGGCATTCTCCTTTGCTCAGGGCAAGAAGGATTTAATCTAGGATTGAAGAATGTGTTTTTCCAGCAGTTCCATTTCTCAGTCCCAGAGAATCATGTGTCATTTTCAGGAAGTAACAGTTTCTTTAACTATGTTCCTAGTTGTGGGCTAGAACACTGTCTGCATCTATTAGAAGCATTTATTTAAAAAGAAAACAAACCCCTTGCTAAATATTAATTGATGTAATATTTTACATGGATTAAACTGTGAGGTTGCCTGGGAGTGAATGTTATACATTTAAAATATTATGAAACATGCAGAGACATAACAGGGCAACTTTGCCCCCTGAGCAGTGGGCAGCAGCATCATACAGGGAAGCAGGAGCTGTGCTGGTGGTGGCACAGACAGCTGGCAGCTGTGGTATTAGCCATTTTTGTGCCCACACCTGCAAGTTGGTGTCTGAGGATGTTGCTCTGGTCGCCCTCCCTGCCTCTTTTCTCCTCCCACCCCACCCCATTGGCCTCATCCTTAGTTAAGCTACTGCAAGCATGTATCTAAGCATTATAAATAGCACCTACTCCCACCGTTCTAAAATGATAGACACATTTCTAGTGCAGCTAGAGTACGGCAACTCTTAGCACTCAGCTACTGAAGGACCCTTTATGTTCCTCTACAGCAGGGCTGGGCAAAATGAGGCCCGGGGGCCAGATGCAGCCCACCAGGCCATTCTATCTGGCCCATGAGGGCCCCCCCAAAATTAAGAAAATTAATATTTATCTGCCCCTGGCTCCCTGTCATGTGGCCCTCAATGGCTTGCCGAAACTCAGTAAGCGGCCCTCCGCCCAAAAAAATTGCCTGCTCCTGCTCTACAGCTTGAGGGTCAACCAAAGACAACACACATCAGTGTATGGGGGCTGACTGTTCCAACCAACATATCCTCTGTAGTTACCTACAACATGACTGCCAACAAAAGCCCCCCACTTTGCACAAAGATAGCTAACACCAGAATGTGAAGGGTATAAAGACTTTTGCCCAATGGTTTCTATTGCATTCATGGCCCCTCTATACATGCAGGTAAAGGTGCAATGGGATCTAATGCACAATCCACACAGTCGTGCAGAGGTACGATTATGAGATGATGCATTAGATCCCATTGTACCTTATTACCAGCACAAGGGGAGCCTGGGATCACGATCCTGGGCACCCGCAGCTCTGAGTCCCCCAGCTGATGGGGTCTGGTGGGGCGTGCATCGAGGGACAACGTTCCCTGCACTGCCCCCGCTGTGAGCAGCATTCCCTGCACTGCCCCTGCTACAAGCCCTGTAGCTGAAGATGCCACCTCCACTTGGCCACATATTCAATTAATGGTATGACTAGAACAAGCTACATAGTTATTACTCACTTTTGTAGCATAATGTTTTAGCGTATTGATTGTTTTATTACATCATGTTTTATTGGTTGAATGTGTAGCTGGGTCACAACTTATGGCACGATTACCTGGTTAATCATGCCTTAAGTGTAACATATGGGGGGCCCTAGGGGCAATTCTCCATTTGATATCAGTTTGGACACTCTGACATCCAGTCGTGCTCCCAACAAGAAGTGTTGTATCGAATATTAGATTCAGATTAGGCAGAATGTAGGTGGCTATGAATATGGTCAGGCACAATTATGCCAAGATAAAGATGTATGCGTCGGGGGAAGGGAGGATGGATTTGTGTCCATTTCTATTCCATGAATCTTGCACTCTTGGCTGCAAAGAGACAGCTTCAGCAGAAGGAACTGAGTGTGCCCCACTATCCAGCCTCTAGCCTGATGGCTAGGGTACACTTCTGGAAGGTGAGAGGGTGGGTTTGAGGCCCCTTCAGGCTAAGAGTACTCTGAAGGCCAGGCTTCCCACTTTCTGTGCGAGTGCTACCCAGTATTACCTAAGTGGGTGACAACACAGCCATTGCCATCTCCTGCTGGTATGTTTTGACAAGTAACAAGTGAGGCCGTTAAATGTACTCAAAGGAACAACTTAAGTAACAAAGTCCAGGAGAGGTTTCAGCCTGTGAATCCCAATCTCACATGGGCTTCTACCTCAGGACTAGAGATAATGTAATGCAACTCAGAGACAGAGGTAGTCTTTCAGACGCATCCCTCCCTGCAGCATTTCCAATTGGTTAGGTTAGACACCCCTCATTCAGCATGCTGGCTCTTGTGAATCCCACCTTTAGGCATCTCACTCTCCTCATTCACTGCATAGATGATTTATAAGCCTAAATTGTGTTTGTGATGTCCCAAAGCTGGATGCCCGGCCAGTGAGTACCACTAAGCCTAAGCCCCTTTCTGCATCCAGGCCAAAGTCAGTAACTTTGTTTAATTTAAGTGCTGTATAAGAACTAGCTCAACTGTTATCCCAAAGCTGGGTCATGCATCCATTTAAAACAGTTAAATCCCCTTAAAGCCTGAACAAATAGTGATTATTTTCAAGTTGGATGGAAGTGGTTAGGCAGAAATCTGTTTCAAATCAGAACATATTTTACCAGACCTGGAAGTTACCTCATTTGTACAGTTTTCTATTTGTAGTGTTAGTCTAGGAAAATGTTTGTATTTACTAAACTTTCCAAGCTAAGTCTGGATTTTACAATGGAAGGTGTTTGAAACTGTAACTAAAAACTTATGGCTGTCAATAATACTTTTATATCTACATGTAATCATTTAATTCATTTTAGTTGAATGTAATCTTAGAGGATTTTTTTTTAAAGAATTTCTGCTGTATTATCCAAATATCATGGACCCTGAGTAAAATCCTAGCCGGGCAAAGTCAATGCAGTTAAGATTCAGAGGGGGACCTAGGCATTGTGATGTCTGACTTCTAGGCATCCTGCCATCTAGTAGAGTTCACACCTCCAGGTTAGACATCCAAGATCCCCTGTACAGTAAATAGGGAAAGTCAGACACTGAAAGAATGGGATTCCCAGGAGGTAGCAGTCTAGGTTAACCACTAGGGAGCTGCTGTGAAGAAGGGTGGGTCTCAGCCCTACCTTTCAATGGGGGGAGGTCTTTTCTTCACAGCCATAAACCTGCTCCTGGGAGTTAGGTGCTGAAGCCAAGTCAGTCCTTTTTTCCAAGAAAACAGAAGAGGTGGTGCTGCTGGTGCAGGTTGTAATGCTCCTCATTACAATTAAAAACCCACTTACTAGAGTGCCCACATGGAATGGGGTTCAAAGCCATCCTTCACTGCCTCATTTGGAGCATGGACCTGAATCCAGGCTTCCTTATTCAAAGAAAAGTGCCAAAACCACTAACCTATTGGGTATATGGAGTGGGTCATACTGTCTTCCTGAAGTGGGTCACTCCTGATTCCTGAATTCTAGACTCAGTATGTAAAATATTTTAATATTCATTGAAGTAGAGACTGGAACCAGGGTCTTCCAGGTGAGTGTCTTCACCATCAGGCTAGAAAGTTGTTCTCACTTTTTTTCTTTGACACACTGAACAGTTGGACTTAGGTGCCTAAAAGGGGAGTTTGGGGCTAAGGTGTCTTACAAATCTAGCCTTGTGAAGTTTTGTCTTTAACTTTAGTGGCAAAATGACCAAATATATAGAAACATGGATTATAAAATCCTTAAAGGAACAAGAATGGACTGGTTTGAAATATTTTGTGTAGAACCATAGTTGTTTTACATAGTTATTGGTTGATAAAGATACTATTTATTTGTCATTTTCAGACATAGTTCAGTATAGTGTGCAGGATGTCCCTAGAGCTGCACTTTGCCCTGTCATGAAACAGCACAAGACTGTTTTATAATTGTTAACACACTAGAAGAGAGTCCTAAATTAGCAGCTGTGTAAAACTCTGGATTTAAGAGGTTAATTAACAAGCTCATGCCTTTATAGCTAAGATATAGACTTACTGGGTAAGGCTGTGTATCTTTTTCCTACCTTCAGAATTGTAAGTAATGGGATCAGAGCAGGAAAAAACTAAATGCACCACACGTAAACAAGAGTCATTACCCTTTTCCTGTTGAAGTAATCAAAAAATTGTACAGTCAGTCTACCAAGTTCTGGGATTCCCCATAGTCTTGTAGAAGCTCAAATTTCCCTTTCTCAATAAACTGGGTTAGTGTAAGAAATTTTTAATCAGCATGCTAGGGAAAAAAAACCCCTATGTTTAACAGAACATTTTAATGCTGCATTTTTTTAGAAAGAGTTACAAAATTGGAATGAAAAGGTAGTCCAAAATTGGCATATTCACACAAATTGTTGATATATAGACTGTAGTGCAAGTTCTCATATTAAAACATGTTGAATACAACACAAGCACTATACTTGCAAAACACTTTTATTTCATATTGTACAGTTAAAACATACATTTTTTAATGTTAACAGTACTGGAGGACATAACTACTGCAACTGAAGAGGTTAGCAGAGGATTCGATAACAATATTTTAGTTCACAAAGAGGTTTTGTTCAACACATTTGGTTTTCCATAGATTTAAGCCAACCTCTTCATAGGCTGAATGTGGCCTATTCAGAGAAAACAGCCAGCTGTAGAAAAGATAGAATGATTCGAACAAAACATGCCAGTGCTGCATCTGCAATTCAAAGGCATATATATTAACTCTCCCCAAATCCATACCTGGGACTAACTCTCCCCCCCGAGACAGGGCCAGATTATGACATGCTGGGGCCCTAAACTATATCAAACTATATCAAACTATAGCATTACCAAATCCAGCACTTCCCCCGCCGCTTTGGGACTGGCCGCCGCTCCACCCCTGTGGGTCCAGAAGTGGCAAGGGAAGCTTGCACGTAGCTGCTGCCACCTCCATTAAGCACCCCGCACCGCTGCTCTGAGTGCAGCTGGTGCCCTGGGACCAGCCACTGCTACTCCACCCCTCCCCAGCTCCATGACTGGCCGCAGTGCCGGTTTTAAAAAAACGGCATTTTCAAATTTCCAGCACGTGCTCAGGACTGCTGGGTTTGTGAGGTTTTACTGTATTTTTTTTTCATATTTAGAGACTTCTCATAATGTGAGGCCCTAAGCTGTAGCTTACTTAGCTTGTGCCTAAATCCAGCACTGCCCTGCGGGGCCTCGCAGCTGCTTGCAGTTACTTTCCAACTGCAGAGATGAGGAAGGAACAACTCGCAGGACCTCATCATCATAAGTTTCAATGTTTTACTAGACAAATCTTCTGGGGAGTGCTTCCTTACTGTCTGTTAATCAGTAGAGCCATGAAAAAGGTAAGATCTTGACTTGTCTTGGAGACAATATCCCCTTTTGTCCCCAAATTTTTCTAATTATCATTTTGCGCGAATGTCAAACTCTCCCTTCTGAGCTCTGTTTTTGGAAACTGTAATTGAGAAGCACATAGCTTAGGTTGTACAACCTCTTTATAGTTTTAGCATGCTGATTTTACATTGTCCTATGGAATATCCTTCCTTGTGGAGTAAGTCATCAGATGACATGGTAAGCATCATTTGTCAGATATATGCTTGTCCTAAGGAAGTTAAGTGTGGCCAGCCAGTAAGGCTTAGAAACTGGCAATACATAGAGTTCCCAAGGAAGTAAAAGTACTCCCATAAAATTAAAATACAGTTCCTGCATGTACGGAAACGCCACAAAGCTAACCGGACCTGAATTTCCTTGTTCTTTATATCTGTATAGTGCGACAAATTATTTCTCTACTTTAAGGTATGATCAGATTGTATAAAAGTGTTTCTAAGCTGCCATGGCCAATGTTTCCTCAGGCATGTACAACTTTGGTTTCGGTGGACCCTAGAACTGAATTTCACTTTAAGTACTTGAAGTAAGAAAATAGCAGGAACTCAAAGCTTCAAAAATTAGTATCTTGCAATAAAACAACTATTAGTCATACAGTAAATTTGGACAATCCAAGCATGGAAGGGTTTTAGGTTTGTTTGGAAGTCTAAGAAATATTGAAAAGTCAACCTGGTCTTCCCTAGACTTGCTGGAAAACATCTGTACTGTGGCTCCATACTTTAAATGAAGGTAAATGATGCAGAATCCATGGTGCTGAAACAATATACATTTTTCCCCCAAAGTGTTTGTCACTGAAAGTGTTATTTAAAAAAAAACCGCAACAGACAAAACCTGAACCCCTCACAACTATTATAGTCTACATCCACCCTCAGCTTTCACCTTTGTAATATCTCATTTTGCTTGTTTTTCTGTCAACTAGAATCATCCTACATAGGGCCTCAATTTTAACAAAACAGATTCTACTGAAAAACAGCAAAACAAAAATGCATCCTTTCAAGCTCTCCTTAGATTTGTGAAGCATCATGAAAAAGGGATGTAAGTCAGGTATTTTCTAAACCTTTTGCAGATCACATTTTAAAATAACTCTGAGAGAAGGCAACAAACATTAATACAAACTAGTTTTCTTCATAATCCTCAAAAATTCCTGCTCGTTTACTTCTCCATCTCCATCTCTGTCAGCTTCTTCAATCATTTCCTGTAAAGAGGTGACAACCAGACTCAAAACAACATCTTTCACTTGCTTTAAAACTTATGAAAAAACATTTGAAAAGTAAACAAGCTTTTGCTGAGATTTTTGGTAATGCATTTAATTCCAGAACTCTTACTAAATTTACTGAAACTATACTTGTAAAGGTATGAAGATAGACCCAAAGTTTGCTGGGAAAATATTGGTGAATTCCAAAATTTACCTGTAGCTCTTCATCTGTTAAATTCTCTCCCAGCTCCTTGGCAACTCTCTTTAGGTTTTTGAAAGAAATCTTTCCTGTCCCATCATCATCAAATAATCGGAAGGCTTTCAAGATTTCTTCTTTTGAGTCTCTCTCACTCTGAAATGAAAGTGAAAGGAAAAGAAAATCCTACTATCTAAACATCCTTTTTCAGCATTCCTTTATCACATTAGGTAGTCTGAAAAATCAAAATGATTCCTACCATTTTTTGGGTCATCATAGCCAAAAAGTCTTCAAAGTCAATGGTGCCACTTCCTTCTTTGTCAATATCTGCTATCATTTTTTTAATTTCTTCTTTCTTTGGTTCAAAGCCTAGAGCACGCATTGCAACCTGGTTGAAAGAGCAATTTCATTTATGTATAGAAGATACCAATAGAATTATAACAATACCATTTGCATTAAACTGCTTCATTTTTGTCTCTCCAAATTATAAACATAAAGCTTACAAAGCATAAAGAAAACCCTTATCGTTATTTTTCATTATTGTAGTTATTAATAGTAGTAGGGCTTAGTAATCTTAAAACTCAGCAGTATCTCTTCTGTACCTACTTCAAACAAGCGATTTTCTCCTTTGGAGTTCAGAGCAGGGTTTGATGATTGTGTTTAGTACTGTAGTAAGCATTTTCAATCTATTTTAATGTACACAGTTATTTTCAAGATATTTCACAGAAAGACTGAATTATCAAACCAGAGACTTGACCCTACCCCCACTAGAGTCTATGGCAGAACTTCTACCACATATCAGTGGAACTAGAATCATGTAAGTATAATAGTTATCGGGTTTTATAACTCAGTTGTGTAAAAACAATTTAAAATAATCCCCAATACTAGCTCTAGACAGGAAAGGAAACAAAACTGGAGTCATGTAGGTATTCAGAATCCTTAAATCTTGTCAGTGTCCCAAACAAAAAAACCCAACAGAATCCCTGCCTTTGACTCTTACAAGGAGTGTCTACACATGCATTTACATCAGCTTAAATTTACTGTGCAGTAAACTACTGCACAGTAAATGGGAATAGGCCAGCATCTACATGTGCAGGCATTAAAGTGCATTAATGCTATGTGTGGACTGACTTGGGACTAAAGTTAGTCCCAAGTCAGTACACAACACACAGTGTTAGTATGCAGGAAGGTGTCTACACTTGCGTTACTGCGCAGTAAGTAATCAGGTGTAAATTTGATACCTGCTCATGAGAGTATCAAATTTAAGCCCAAGTCAGCATAAGTCACCATAGTTACTGTGCAATACAGGCATGCAAGTGTAGACACGTGCCCATACTGCACAGTAATTTCATGAGAGTATCAAATTTAAGCCCAAGTCAGCATAAGTCACCATAGTTACTGTGCAATACAGGCATGCAAGTGTAGACACGTGCCCATACTGCACAGTAATTTTGGTTACTACGCAGTAAGTGCACAAGTGTAGATGCGCCCAGAAAGTACAAATTTTATGGCTGCCATAAAAAAGGCAGAGAAAAATCTGTTCTCCCTTGATTACAGATGTCAGGACTAGAGGCAGTGGGTCTAAGTCTCAGGAAGAGTTCTTAATTGCAAGAGCAGTAGGGCAGTGGAAGTAGATGCTGAGTGAGGTTATTACATCTTTTTCCCTTAAGGCACAGATTGTCAACCGGGGGTATGCATACCCCAGGGGTACTTGGGAAGGCCCTAGAGGGTATGTGCAGGTGGGCAGGGATGGAGAGCTGCCACCCACCATCCCATTCCACTGCCTCCCAGGACCAGGGTTAGGTGAGGGCAGCAGTGACCCTCTGTGCTGCCGCTGCCATCCACCACCCTGCGCCACCCCACTCCATGTTTAGCCACATGCCACCCCGCTCCAGGTCCAGCCATGCACCCCCCCCACGTGCCACCCTGCCCTCCCACTTCGCGTCTGGCTGCCAGAGGTACACTTACTAAAAAAGGCTGAAAACCCCTGCCTTAAGGTTTTCAAAAGGAAGCTAAATGGGCATTCACCTATGGGATGGTTTAGAACAGCAAATACTGCATCTGAGCAGGGGGTTGGATTAGATGGGCAGGGCCAACTTGTGACATAAGTGCCACAAGTGGCACAGGCAGCCACTGTGTGCGGCACACAGCAGACTGGGAAGGAGAGAGGCAGCAGGATTTTTGTTGTTGTTATAGAACAGGAAAAAAAATTAAAATCACTATAAATGCCTCCTCATTTCCCTTCTCCCCTTCCCCACTTCCAAGGAAAAACCCAGTCCCTGAACTGCTTTAGAAATAATCCGATCTACTACATGCATTCATGATGTTACAAAAGAAATATGTTGTGTTTTACTGTTAGCTTAGAAGCAGGTTAGTTTCTCCATTAGTTTTAATATTAATGCAATATACTCATTAGAATATTCAGGCCCTGCTACCCAAGGTAATTGGGCACTAGAAGTGTTTTACATTGGGTACTCAGAAATTCAGCTGTATTTACAAAGTGTAGCCTTCATATACCAGGCCATTTCAGATCATATTTATGACTATAACATTTTAAAACTGAGTTCAGAGACCGAAGAGGAAAAGATGTCAAAAAGCACAATTTTGCCAATAAATGTAATGTAAAAGGACAGACCTTCAGTTCTTTTACATCAATGCTTCCAGATCCATCAGTATCAAATAAATCAAATGCTTCTCTGATCTCCTGCTTCTGCTCTTCTGTTAATTCAGGTTTCAATCCACTTTTCTTCCGCTGGACTGCACCCAACCCAGGTTTCCTGTAATTAGAGGCCTACAAGACGTAGGTGAAAAACAAAACTTAAGTAAAAAACATGGTTTTTTGGAAAAACAAACCATAAAAGTACCTACAGTAGTGCAACTGTAGGGAGAGCTGGGTATCTGCCCTGGCACCAACTCAGAGCAGGTGCCAGTATGGCCCCTTCCCTCCAGGAGTTTTTACTACTGCATGTGTCACCAGGCCATAGGAGCCATAAAGGTGTAGCCCCATGCCCATTAGTAAATCAGAGAGGGGGTGGGGGTGCCAGGTAAGCTGAAGTTGTGTAGGGTGCAGCCCTGCACCCAGAAGTGTATGGGGAGAGGGGGGAAGGAGTGAACAGGGCACCAGAAACAGCCCCTTGGGAACCTGTGCCTCTGCGCCAGAGCACAGGGAGCTTGTCCCTTTGCTACAGCAACTTAAGCCCATATTGCTACAGCAAGTGCTGTAGGTGTAGCAGCTGCTGCTGGAGTGCAGAGAGCAGGGGCAGTTAAGATCCCCCTCTCCCCCAGATCCCCACCCTGCTTTCCAGTGGTCAGCATAATCTCTCCCACAAACACCTCTGCCCCAGGCACTGAATGATCTCCCTGCATGTCTGAGTACCTAGCAGGGGCAGAATTGACAGAGGACTTTCTTTGCTGCAACTGCAGGAAATTGGGTCTTTGGTGGCTCCTCCTCAAAAATCCTTTTGCTTAGACTACCCCAAGACAAACAGAGAAAGTGCTGGGCTTTATGCATCACAGCAAAAGCAAAGTAACTAGATGTTTGTACTAGAAGGGTCGGTAACTATACAGTGTCAACCCACAAGCAGTCATCTTTCAGTCTCGGTGTTAAGGTGCTACTGAGATGATTGAGCATGTTGTTCTCTCCTGGCTGTCACGTCAGACTAAGTTCAGATAACACAGCACTGATTTAGCCTTAAAATGAGAAGAACACAGAAGCTATGACTCTGAGCAAGACGTCTCCATTCCTGTTCTCTTTGCACAGAAATACAAGTCCAAAGAAGCAGCTGTCTACATTTTACAGCTTTGGCAGCTGAATGCCAGGTCTCTTGGCACCAGCATGCACATGCAGATGCCCTCTGTGTTGGCAGAACCTTCCGCCCTGCTCCCAGTACCCTGCCCCTGCAAGGCTTCTGCTGCCGTCCAGTTGCCATAGACACACTCTTACACCTTCCGCCCACCTCTGCAGTCTACAGTAAGCTCCAATGCCTGAGACAGTGCAAACTCAGTGTAGACTTAGCCTCAGGGAGCAACTACATTGCAGCCAAAGTAATGACAGCAGAATAAGTTACCTTAGGGTATGTATGCACTAAATCAGCTGCTGGGGTATAGGCAGCAGCACAGCCAAGGAAGCACAACGCTTGTTGTGAAACCCAAGCAGGAAGCACATGAGGTCTGTGCTCACCTCTCCATTGTGTCCATTTGGGAAGTACTTGGAGGCCTGCCCTTTCTCTCAGAGCAGCCCCAGAGTGTCTGCGATCTGTACGCTGCTTTCTGTGCTCCCCGTGGGGCTGCCAAAACCAGCAAATGGCCAGAGTCTGGTGTCTGCCACCACGACCGGCTTAAGCCGTCATGACAAGAGAGCCAGGCCCCTTTGTGATGTGCCTAGTGGATCAGGGGTTTGGGCCCATCTATCAGCCTCCCATAGCTGGGAAACAAGGTTCTTTGGGTAGATGTGATATCTTTTATTAGACCAACTAAGGAGTTGGAAAACTTGTTCTTTGCAAGCTTTTGGGTACAAACACCCTTCTTCTTCAGGCACAGGGAGGGTCTGCTGGTGTGGAATAGAAGCTGCCACAAAACACCAGCAGACTCTCTCTCTGCCTGAAAAAGGATGTTTGTGCCCAAAGGTTTGCAAGGAAAATGTTTTTCCAACTACTTAATTGGTCTAATAAAAGATATTGTACCATTACATTTACCCAAAGAACCTTGTCGGCTTATGTCCTTAGACCAACACAGCTACAACCCACACTCCCCATCGCAGGGAAATACAAAACTCTAAAACTCGGTTCAGAGGCGACACCTTTTATTAGACCAGCTGAAAAATAGCAAAAAAACCCAAACAATAATAATAATAATAATTTTGTTTTTCTTTGCAAGCTTCCGAGCGCTCAGCTGAGTCCTGGGGACAAGTAAGATGAAAGCTGTGCCAGGAGTGAGGTACAGCAGGTGCTGGAGGCAGGGAGCCAGCCACTGCCCACGGGCCCCACCAGCGAGTCCCAGCAGCCGGCGGAGGTAAGAGCTACCCCCTCCGCTGCAATATTATATTACTACAATATAAGATTGCAATACCCCCTCCCCAGTCTCCTGCACTCCGGGCCCGGGGCGGTGCCCCCCGACTCACCATGTGCCCGGGCTCGGGGCGCAGGCGGCCTCTCTTCGCGCCAGCGTCTCCGGGCAGCGCAGCCCGGCCAATGGGCGAGGAGAGCGTTCCACAGGGCCCTGCCCGTCTCTGTCCCCCGGGCCAATCAGGCGGCGCGGGTCCTTTGTGGCGTCATAGAGACCGCCCACGGGGTCAGTCTGGGTCGATACACAACGCGCCGAGGCGTCCGTGTCCCGGCAACCGGGCCCGCTGCGGAGCGGCTGCGCAGGCGCGGCGGGACCCCAGCGCGGTCAGTAGCGGGGCGGCGCGGTGGGCCCTTGGGTGCTCGTTCGCCGGGGCGCGGCCGGGCCCTGCCATCCCGCCCGGGGCCGGCCCGGCCTGGGCAGCGCGGCGCTCCGGAGCTGCTCACTGGCCCTGCGCTGCTCAGTCCCGCTGGGAGACAGGCACTGGGGCAAGCTACAACCAAGGAAGGGGCACAGGACTGGGCTGCACCGTATGCACTAACCCGTGTGTGCGTGCGTCCTCCTGAGCGAGCTTCAGCTCACGTGTTATATGTAAGTGTCTGTATCTGTGGGTATAAACGCACAGGCGCACACATGTATATGCACATAGAGCTGTGTGTTATATGCACACGCACAGAAATGCCAAACTCTAGAGCTCTTGGTTCAGAGATGATACCTTTTATTAGACCATCTAATTTTTTTTGTGATTTCTTAACATTTTCGGCAACCTTTCGGGCACACGCACCCAGAGCCGACCCCAGAGAGGTGCAGAGCTCGAGGCAAATCAGCCTGTGCGGGGCCCCTTTAACACTGCACGGGGCTCTGGGACCCCCGTAAAGGCAGGGCACAGTGCTGTCGCAATGAAATTTGGCGCTGCACACCCTCCATAGGCAAGCCGCTCAACAGCCCAGTGGAGGTGGGGGATGGCAAGGAGCTGGATGCTGCTTCTGCTGCATGGGGCTGAGCTCCAGGCAGGCCCCACAGGAGGGGCTGTAGCCGCTTTGCCCGGCTCCACAGGGCCCCTAAAGTGTGGCGCCCGGGGTAGTTGCCCCAATTCGCCCTACCCAAGGGATGGCTCTGCATGCACCCTTTCTCAGGCTAAGGGAAAATTAAAGATGGTAAAAAGTCCCCGGAGGTAGAAAATAAACTTCATTTTTGCACAGAGATACACATACATGTGCATGCATGCACACACGCGTATACACGCATATGTATGCACACATATATAGGTACTTATACATGCACGTATACACACTGCAATTGATTTAGGCCAGGATTTGTGGACTAAAAAGCCAAATTAAGGAGCTTCTTGTTTTTCCCCTACTAAAATGAACCAGCCTGAGAAATACCACAGACTTCAATTTTAACTTGCAACTTGTTAACAGTTATAGAGACTGCATAAAACTTGGGAACAGTAGTATGTTAGTATGTCAGTAAAACTAAATCCTGTAAGACACGCCATTAAATTAATCCTATTCCATGACCCAAACTTTCAGGGAAGTAACATGTGTTTTACCATTGCATTGGATCATAATTTTGAAATAAAGAAGTAATAGTGACACTGGCAAATAAAATTGTTAAGGATTCCAGTAATGAAACAGGAGGGTTGTTTGTGGGAAACACTGATAGGGACACGTAGCATGACAACCTTAGATTATTCCTGTGATAAAATGCCAAGAAAAGTTGCCAGACACTTAGATCATTTTTTTTAGTTGCACATTTGTTTTTCTCCCTCTCTCTCTCTTTCCCAGTTTCAGAAGTTGAAAATCTTACTTAAAAAACCACTAATTCCAGACAATGGTAGAATAAAATCATTTTTATCAAAGAATCAGTGATTCTTTTGGAACGTCAAGTCTAAGTAAATTAAAAGAAATTTCTGTTGGCAGTTGAAACTTGAATGGGTCCTTCTAGTTTTAGTTCTGAGGCCCTGTATTTTTGGCTTACCCTTGTGGCCTGCAAAGGTACTTTACAAATGAATCTGAAAAGACTCTTTCTTCATACTTGTAACGATAGGAGAACTGGCCACTGAGTAAGATGAATAGCTCCCATGGAAATGTGACTGTCTTTCTTAAAGCTCTGTTTACAGTCAGCAGCATCAGTAAGGGTGATGGTACCTTACACGTGGGTCTTGAAGAACTTGCTAGTTGGTGTTTGTGTGGAATAGAAAAGGAGTTGAAAAGAGGGCAGGGATGGAAAATTAGTAAAGATAAAATTTATGGGGAGAGGGGGCCCTGAAGACAAAACCAAGGAGGAAAGACCATTGGAGAGATGATGTGGTCCAACCAATAAACAACAAAGGAATAGCTATAATTATTGTAAATATTAATAGCTACAATTTATTGTCCAGAGGAAAAGTAGGTGGGAGTCAGAGGTAATAGATCTGGATAAGAGGGGCTTGACAAGAAGTTGGGGTTTATCTGTTTACAGAGTTATTTGGGAACAGCTTTTCATTTTATATTCTTATATGTTAATCTGAATAAACTGAACTTTGATCTTGGACTGCATCTACGTGGAGACTTCTCAGGAAAGTTACGTTCACATTTTCAGTTAATTTAGTTTAAAGCAAATTAGTAAAAAAGTATAATCCTAGTTTGGAGGATCATTCAAAAGAATATGGCCATATTTCACTGTACCTTAATTAATGTGGTAGGAAGTATCAATAAAGGCTGTGGAGAGATCAGTGGAGAGGATTAATAAGGAAGGAAAGGTATTCATTTTTTTCATGTTAAAATTAAGTTGTTTTAAAAAAAAAAAAAGTTCACTACTCTAAACAGTGTCTTTGTCCAAAGCTTAAAAGACTGTTTCTTCATACTTGTAACAATAGGAGGACTGGCCACTGAGTGAGATGAATAGCTACCTGGGAAATGTGATTGTCTTAAACTCTGTTTACAGTCAGTGGCATCACTCAGGGTGATAAGACATAAAGGGCATTTATACAGATAATTTTTTTTCCTGTGATGCACTGGAGATCTGCACGCGAGCTAAGGTGAGCTGCGCTGTGCCGCGTACAGTTGCGTAAGCAGTGAAATACGCATCAGCATGCAGAAAATGCAGAAAATGGTGGTGGGCGGCGTGCTTTTGAACTAAAGCACCTCCGAGGTGTTTTAGTTCAAAAAGCACACTGCTGCCATTTTCTCAGCGCTTGCTGATGCACATTTCACCATTTACACAACTGTGACGCTTGCATGTGTAAAAATGCCCCAAAATAATAGCAGTTGCACATGAGTTACGTTTCCTGCCCAAAGGACTTTGTGTTCTAAATAAGACAGACACATGCATGGGATTAGATGGCACTGACTAGAAAATGTGGGGATAGGAATGATGTGGGAATAAGAGGAAAGGATAATTTATGTTTATTTTTGTAAAATTTGATCTGCTGTAAAATATTTGATAGCACAAGATAAAAGGCCTTTAATTTGGTGGAGGAGGGGAGTATTCTTTGGTAATCTTTGAATAACGCAATTTCATGCTTTGAACATGAATAAGGCAAATATGCACAAAGAGTATCATAAAATATCTGCTTACAGTGTTATACCATTAACATTTTGGGAAGTATGGAGTTCTGGAAAAAAAGGAGCAACAACCCTGTGTTTTATTCACAGATGTTGACTGGTGGTCATGGCTTTCAGAAACGTGAACCGAAGACGACATGTTGGACTTCAGCAGCTTTCATCATTAGCATCTATAGGAAGAACGCTTTTAGGGCCACTAAAATCCTATAAATTTATTGTAAATGAAAGCACTAATGAGAGTGTTTTGGCTTGCTCTGTAGTTAGACTTCTTGAAAGTCTGGATTTAACTAGTGCAGTGGGACAGCTTCTTAATGAAACAATTCAGGCACAAAGCAAAGAATATAAAACTGGGACAGCTACTCTGTTGTTTCTTGCTGGTGCCTGGAGCAGTGCTGTACTTGAATGTCTTCAGCAGAATGTTCCTGTTCCAGTAATAGTATCTGTGATGTCTGAAGGATTAAATTCTTGCAGTGAAAGAGTCAAGTGTCTTCAGGTCTCAGTACATGATTTATATGAAGGGCCAGATTCTGTTCCCATTCAGTCAAATTTTAGCAGTGCTAGACCCCAGATTTTTGAAAATAAAACTCCCAGTGCTGGGTCTAACAGCTTTCTGAATCCTTTTATGCATTTTCACAAAGATGTTCCTGTAACAGAAGAAGAATGTGTTCCAGAAGGTCCTTGTTCCCATGAAGCAAACACTTGTGATCTTCATAACAGATGTTTGAGTTCACCTACATACACTACAGGCCGTCAAATGCACTCAGCAGTTGGACCTGTGGGTGATAAAACTATGCTCTCAATTCCTGGAAGCAGTTCGATTACATCCAGCTGCAACAAAAAAAGGTTAACTCACAGTAGACACTTTAATGCTGTAGGAAAAAAAGGCTCTCTGCTCCATGTAGGCAGTTTTCAGGGGAATCCCATCGGACCTTCAACACATCACTATGAATGTAAAGATTTTGGACAATTAGCAATGGCTCTGAGCCATGGAAATAAGGCTAGCATGAAATTGGTACAGGATATTGTTAGATGTCAGCAATGGAAAACTAATCGCACAGGTTTGTCCCAATTTAATATTGAAGAAATTGTGACATGCTGCTTACCGGGGGTGCCTGAAAGTTATTCTTGTATCTGTCCAGGGTATGTCACATCAGTATCTCCAGAGAAAGCCGCTGTTACCAAGCAGCTTCAGGGCCGACTGCTTCAGATGCTCCTCATAGACGGTGACCTAACTGAAAAGTATCGTCATTTGGGATTTAATAGACCAACTAATGTAAAGACAGTATCAGAAAGCTTGGGTGTACAAGAAAGCAGCTCAGGATGTTCATGGACAAGTCGTATGTTAGATATTTTAATGCAGTCAGAAGTAAATTTAATTTTGGTAAAAGGAAATGTGTGTGAACATCTAATGGAAAGATGTATCCTAAATAACATTCTTATAATCAACCCAGTGACTCAAAATGTGTTATATGCTTTTGCTCGGGTCACAGGAGCAAAACCTGTGACGTACCTCACCCAAGTGAACAGTCAGTGTGTGGGAGGTGGTGTCGGGGTGGATTTCTGGAGAACTGGTGAATTGAGTACAGAGGAATTGGAGAGCAGGATGCTTATCAGTATAA